AGCACGTTTCGTTAATAATAGCTGAGGTGAAAATTAGAACAGTGACAAGAACGGCTTCTGTCACACGCTGCAGTCGAAGTGAGAAACACAACAAAAGAAATGAAAATATGAAAAAGGGAAGACTGTACAATGGTCTGTGAGCAGCGTAGAGGAGATACAAAAAAAAAGTGGAATAAATTAATCGCAAGTGCACATTAAATTGGCATCGTTTTTCCAGAGCGTTTGGGAATCTTGGGCAGAACTGTTTATACCCTCGTGACGGTGCGGAAACTTGTGTATCAGGAAAAATTAGTTCTGCCTCGAACTGCGCTGCATTATTTAGAGGAGCCAAGAATAAAAGACATAAATAGAAACGGCAAATGTGAGGCAGTTACAGATTGCATTTTCATCATAAGAGAAGTCTTCAGCGTGATGAACTAAATCCTTACAAAGGCATGTAGACAGAGAATATGGTATACTGGAACAACACTCATTGGCATATATTCTTTATCCTCTCCAAAAACGATTTAACATGGTATCTAATGATGACATTACTGTATGTTTTTATAAATTTCAATATTATAAGGTGGCATTTTATTTCAAAGAATCAAGAAGGTTGATAAAAAAATTAAAAAATAAAAAAAAAAAGATATTCCTGGTACATTACAGCCCAAAAACGTATTCTGGTGTTGAGTATAAGGTGTCCCCAATAAGTCTTGACACAATGTTGAGTTCTTGCATCAAATTCACATGAAACCAGCAAAATCCTGGAAACATACTGCAGCTGTTATGTCTTAAAATTGAACAAAATTGTGTACGTGTTTTTTTTTTTTTTTTTTTTTGCCAACAGTGTGTGTCAGACTTAAAAGACACCCTGTAGATTCCTTTCAAACCCAGCAGCCACGGGGCATCATTATAAACATGCGGAAGGTCCGCCATCTTGCCATCAATTTGTTTCAGAAAAATTGCAGATTCATGCTGCAAGCTTCACCTATCTACGTGAGTGTTAATATCTAAGGCAGGGGTAGGCAGTTATTTTTCCCTGGGGGGTGAATGAGAAGCATAAAATATTGTGGCCAAAGGTTTGAAATCGGTCATTGATTGTATTTCTACGTTGAAATAAGCACGACATTGTTTACAGAACCTGATGAGTAGATGTTATTGTCAGATGATGAGAGTACAGTATTTATTCTGTGAAATTACGCAAAACAATTGCAACTGTGCAACGTTAGTCACTTTTCCAAGAACATGAACACTACAATGCTTTCTGATTTTAATTTTCGATGAAGATACCACAATGCTTTTGTATGGCAGTCATCATGGAACATAGCTCACAACATTTTTTTTGTCCAAACAAATTACGCAAAACAATTGCAACTGTGCAACGTTAGTCACTTTTCCAAGAACATGAACACTACAATGCTTTCTGATTTTAATTTTCGATGAAGATACCACAATGTTTTTGTATGGCAGTCATCATGTAACATAGCTCCAAACATTGCAGAAAAAAAATCTAAGTAAGCACGTTTCAGTGTTTTGTTTTTTCTTGTTCAGTGAGAGAAATCTAGCCTCTGTTGAGCTTCGACAAGTGCATCAAAGCAGGCTGAATGAGGTGAAGATGTGATACACACATGACAGATGCTAATAAGTAAGAGAGGGTCTGTACCTGAATTTGATGAACTTCTTTTGTTGCTCCGGACATATTGGCACTCTTGAACGAATTCCCCCGTCCGAAAATGGCTTCGTGTTCGTAGCGATGTCGTGGGCTATCACAAAACTGGTCCTCCTTGCTGCTTCTCGGGCTGCGCGTAGCTTGGTAAAATAGCCTTGTTGTTTTTCGAGCTAAGCTATCAAATCTTCGGAAAGCCGCGCTTTCCCAGCCTCAGTCAAATGTTTGGATTTTTTCCGCATGGTTCGTCTCGTCGTGCCGATTCACGTTATCGTCCTTCAAATAAACACACAGACTTCTATAAATAAATATTGAACAGGCTATATTTTCTTGAAACTACGGCCTTCATCAGCGTCCACCTTGAGTTTTTTTTTTTGGGGGGGGGGGGCAGCACAGGCGACCATTTTGAAGGATTAGTATGACAGTGATTTGTTTGTTAATCCCACGGATTCGGACAGAGTACCTGTACGTAAACTACGTACGCACAGTTTTCAAAGTAAAAGTCTTGCTGTTTTAGTCCACGCACAGTGCAAACATTTGAAAGTAGGGTTTATTTTCTTCATTCCAAGCAACTTTTCACAAGCCGGTCAGAGCCTGGCTGCGGCCCAACACGCATTATCCAAAATTTTGAAAGTACTGTACATTTTATTTTACGGCCCGCAGGCTGATCTAAGGTGTGCTCGCCTGTGGAGAAAAGCCTGCTCAGCATGAGGGTACCTTCTGAAGACAAAATATCCATCAAGTGCTCTCGACCATCTGCACATATCGTCTCGCCGCGGGTGCGAGCTAACTGGAGGTGTCAGCACAGGTTAAAATGCTGACCACATCATGACAGAGCACCTGTGTGCCTTCCCCGCCCTCCGCCATTAATAATGTATCACAACAACCGAGTCCCGTCCAACCACCTTGTCAGGGCTTTGTGATTTATTGTGCGACAGAAATGATAATACGGGAGAAACCAATGCAGCGCTCCTTATGAAGGCCAGAGCAGCATCTGTGTGCACTGCTCATGAACGCACTCATGCAGGGCCATACACAGATGCGTGCCCGCGTTGCAGCTTCGTCGCCATCAAGCGTGAACGGGCCCGGTGACGCATCGGGCGGCCGCCCCTGTGCTTGCACAGCACATTCGGGATGTGTGTGTGTGTGTTTTTTTTTTTTTTTTTTTGCAGAAGAGCCTCACTCACATGAAATGGCATGTCTGCAGACTTTGGTCTTGGAGTGCGTGCGTATGTCAGAGGAAAGTGAGGGGCAGGTTTGTCAGCCAAAGTCAAGAGTGACGTGTGCCCTTCCGCACTCACTGATAGTCATAAAGCAGACTGCAGCACTGCAGAGAGCTGTGCAGTTGGGCTCAGTGCGGGAAGGGTGCAGATGGAAGAGAAACACTGACATACTCAATTGATTTTTTTTTTTTTTTTACTGCACATATTGGGTACACTGTATTGGGATATTGGGACCATGCATTTAATACCAGGATGTTGCCTCCTTGAACCTATTTCATGTATGAATATATCCTTTTATATATCATACAGGCACAATATACTCAGTTATTGGCCTTGTCTCTCGAATGGACTTAGACTAGCTGTTTAAGTGTTCCCTTTATTTTTTTGAGTAGGTTTATATCTCACCACTATGACTTCGCAATCACACAAGACCATCAATACTACACAAAACACAGTTTAGAATCAATATTTCCCCAAATCGAGGGCCAGCACTGTCACACGATGTGAGGTTGAATCATACATCTGATTGGTTAAATAAACAGAGAGGCTGAAATCTGACGGGATGGGAAAAAAAATCCTACATCCACATGCTGTACACTGGTGGAAGCACTGCAGCCAAGAAAATTATGACAATTGACCGCTAGGAATTCATTAGCACACCTTCATGGAACAATTATTCAAAGTCAGTCCTTCTAAAAGTATTTCGGCCAGCGGCTAACTAGCTAGCTAGCTGGCAAAGTCGCGAACTATTGGTCTCTCTATCTGTCTTATCATTCACAGTCATTAACGCACAAAGCAAATGAAAACAATTCAGATGGTTTTAGAAGAAGTCCCCTGTGCCTCGTATGTACGATATTGCCAGTGTTCAAAATGAGTGCGTTGCCGGTTTCAGAGGAGTCCTGCTGTCATTGGTGGGAAACCGTGTTGGAAAGTCGGCCTTGCATCCCAGGAATCGGCTTCAGTCGAGCACCACTTTGCCTTTTCCTTGCATCCTCCACCCTGCAGCTAAGCAATCCTGACCCTGCTGGAGTGTGCTATTTTGACAGAGTCTAAACAATGAGCATTTCACACCCACACGCCGCATACGCAGCAGCGCGCGTGTGTGCACGCTGGCACACACGCCCACGCGGCAGGACACAAACGCTTACATGTACAGAAATCTAAAAATAGCTCAAGGGTCAGGTATTAAAAATAGAGCAGGGAAAATAAAAGCAGGGCTCGCTGGGCTGAGTCTAAATGCTCTGACAGACTGTCTTCCTGCATTTGGTTATTTGTGGCGGACACAGGCAGGCAGACAGGCAGTGTAATGGGTGGTGGGGGGCAAGTGGAGGGGGGGGGGACACCGGCAATGAAAAGACAGCGAGCAGCTATGGTAGCTCTGCGGTTCTGATGCTCCTCTCTCACCCTTTTACTTGCCTCTAATTAGGATTTAGGAGAGCACACATGCAGGAGGAGAGCCGGCATCAAGACATTTTATCTGCTCCCGTGGTCACAAATGCATCTTTTTTTTTTTTTTGTGCCCTTCAAAACTCAGCCGTCTGGGAAATCTAATGTGGCATGTTGGGTAATAAATCTCTCCTCAGCTCCTGCTGGTACATTTTGGGCCATTTAGCGCTCAGACCCGAGGCTCAGGGGCTTTTGGCTCGGACTCCATCTGAGCCCGCTTCCCCGCAGCTATTCCGCTTAAGCGGACCACGAGTGCGAGCTGTTAACATATGAACAGCAGAAGGTCAATTGTTCTCGCAACAATTAGACACATTTTAACTACAGGCGTATTGGCACCGAGCAGCGCGGTGGCATACATCTTCATGTGGCACTTTTTTTTTTCCCCCCCGTCTCATTAACATTCACCGTATTACTATTGATCAATGAATCAATATATATATACACACACACACACACATATATATATATATATATATATATATATCCCTCAAGTCGTTTGTGCAACGTCAACTGTGAAACTAAGAGGCAGCAATAAAGCTGAGCTCCCTGCTTCGGTGCGCCGACTGCGAAATGTTAAATGCAGAGGACACATTTGCCGAACATAATCCCTGTTCAAAATGTAAATACGATTTGTCAAAATTCAATTTTATTTCAGAGGTTGCGTCTCCTCTGTCTCCTCGCAGGAACCTCGGGAAGTCCGGCTTACGTGTTTCCTGCCTCGGCTTAGGTGAGTTCCCAAGTGTGAAGTCAAATGTCATCTTTCTCTCTCTCATGGCCTCAAATGTAACACGCACATCCATCAATCTCCTCGCATCCAGGCACATGGGTGACGTTTGGATCACAAATATCTGATGAGGTGAGACCTTATATTCACAACCGTCTTTTATTTATTTATTTATTTATTTTACGGCCACCGTTATTACTAAATCAATAGCCAAAGCCTCTGTATTCCTTTGTCACATGGTCACGTGTGGAGTCGTTGCCACACATCCATCATGTTCCTCTCTTCTGCTATTTTCTTCCCTCAGATGGCAGAGAACCTGATGACCTTAGCGTATGAGAATGGGGTCAACCTATTTGACACTGCAGAGGTTTACGCTTCTGGAAGGTCAGACTTCGGTTATGATTTAGTCTCGTCTCTGTGTATGTATATGTGTGCATCTATATCTGTATATCCATATATAGATCTATAGACATTCCACCTTCCTTTGAGCGTTAGCCATATATCATGCTGTAAAGATGTACGCGCTTCATGAAATTAAGTCGCCTTAATGTGTCTCTCCACAGGGCAGAGATCACGCTGGGAAACATAATCAAGAAGAAAGGATGGAGGTCACTTCCGATCGACTACCACTTCTTAATCAGACAAATACATGTGAAATACATTTCTTTGCGTCCTCGTGATTTGCAACGAAGCAACACATTGCAGCGGTGCCTCGGCTTATGCGAATTTCATTTGTTCAGAGGCCACGCTCGTCTCGGCCACCAGGGGCAGCATAATACAGACATAGAGATAGAAAACAAGAAGGGTTTCACAAACGATTCCGTAAGATGCAGGAATATTTGTCATTTTAGGCAGAGGATAAAGAATATATGCCAGGGTATTGGTAATATTATTCGTCTATATGTGCCGCTGTTATATTAGGCATCATATTATCACGTAAATTGGGCAAATATTTTCTTTAAACCGCATAATCAATAATTCCTCTTTCCTAATAGACGCTCAAGTTTTGTCATTACAACAAAGATCTACTGGGGAGGCCAGTAAGTATTTACGGGATGTTTTTTTTCAATGCAGTATGAATATTATTTCGAATGGTGGATCTTGTCCCCCTTGTTAGCTCAAATTCATATCATCAAGAGTCTACTTTTGTCATTTCACAGAGCAGAAACAGAGAGAGGGCTCTCCAGAAAGCACATTATTGAAGGTAAAGCATGATGCCATTTGCTTTTTGGGACGAAACGATCTGGTGTGAATTAGTGACTCAAGGTCAGCCGAGGGGACAAAACAATACGCTGAAGCTCCCATTGGAAAATCCAACTGGGGATCATTGGTTTTTCCAGCCGCCTGATCTGCTCTTCCCGCACAGCATAATCCTATAGAAGGCTACTTTTGTTTGTTTAGCGCGCACTGTGCGGCATGGCTTTGGGCTGTCCAATTAAATAAGGATTTGACCGGGCGTCATTGTCACGAGCCTTTTGATTTGTGGCCGTTACGTAACAGGTCAAGTTTGTGCAGCTTTTAACGTTTGCACGGCACGCTGGGACAGCGCTCATACTTGGGCTTTAAAGTCGGCTTCGGGCCTGTCACTAAAATGTGGACCAAAATGATGACATACATGGGGGGGGGGGCATGACATTTGACAAGAATACGTAACAGACGGGCTTTAAGTCCACATCAGCCTTCTAAAAACAGATTTGTTTCCGATCCAGCGGCACGGCATTGTTAAAATTGTTTCTGGCTCGGGATTTTATGATACGTTCATGTTTCTTTCGCGAGTTACGCAACCGAATTGAAATGTCAAATAAGACTTTTTCCTCGAGCGTCATCGAGAGGTTGACATTTGTCATTTATTTATTTTTAAAATTGCTGTAAGACACTTGCGTCCTTCTGAGATGTGCAACAATATCCGCGTCGACTTTACAACGTATTTTGGGACTGTTTCTTGGTCCTAATATTTCATATCACGTCGCATCATATCATCATCAGGTTTAAGAGGATCTTTATCAAGGCTCCAGCTCGATTACGTGGACATTGTGTTTGCCAACAGAAATGACGTCAACAGTCCGATGGAAGGTAAGCGTGAACATGCTTAAGATCAGGTGTGCTATTCAAGTGGAATCGGGTTTCCAATTTGGCATTTTAAACTGCCGTCCCACAGAGATCGTGCGGGCCATGACGTTTGTCATAAACCAGGGCATGGCCATGTACTGGGGCACCTCCCGCTGGAGCGCCATGGAAATCATGGTGACCTTCAATTCATTGTCCTGCTTTCATTTTGTGAATGCAGAGGGGGTAACCATCTCGTTCCAAATCTTTCCTGCAAATTAGGAAGCTTACTCGGTAGCTCGCCAGTTCAACTTGATCCCACCGGTGTGCGAGCAGGCCGAGTACCACTACTTCCAGAGGGATAAAGTCGAGGTGCAGCTACCGGAGCTCTACCACAAGATCGGTATCAATTCATCTCACGTTTACATCCCACTTGATCATCTCCGCTTAATTGTCGAATAGGCAAAGACAAATCCACTGGTCTCTTTCAGGTGTCGGAGCGATGACCTGGTCACCACTTGCGTGTGGATTAATCACCGGAAAGTACAGCGACGGCGTACCAGAGTGCTCCAGAGCAGCAATGAAGGTCAGTTTGACTTCACCGGCACTCCTGTGGGATTCTTCTCAGTGTAATTACCCACCCAATCAGTGGGGCGTTTCTGTTTTTTTTTGTTTTTTTTTTGTTTTTTTTTGGTGACAAATCAGTAGAGAAGCATTTTACTTCACTATTTTTTTTCTCTCCCTCTCCCCGTTTCTCCAATTGACTGCGGCTGAAGGGCTACCAGTGGCTGAGGGAGCGAGTGAACAGTGAGGAGGGGCGAAGGCAGCTAGCAAAAATCAAAGAGCTCCACCTACTGGCAGACAGGCTGGGATGCACCGCCGCACAGTTGGCCATCGGTACATTCCAAAAAAAGCACTGCAGATATCGGTTGTTTAAAAAAAAAAAAATGGCCTTGCCGTAGCATGGCGGCTTCATGTTAGCATGCCTGCTTCACAGTCAAGAAGTCTGATTCTGTTTCTGCTTTAAGATATTTTGGACCGTTCAATACTATCCTGCAAGCATGCGTTCCATGTGAATCTCTTGCAAATAACCATTTTTAAAAAAAAAAATGTTTTTCCACCCCCCTCAGCATGGTGCCTTCGCAGTGAAGGCGTCAGCTCAGTACTTCTGGGGGTTTCAAACACAGACCAGCTACTGGAGAACCTGGGCGCACTGCGGGTAAACATTCTTTTCTCTAGGTCCATCAGATAGCGGTTCACTCGAGTTATGTTTACGGTTTGATTTCAGTTCAGCTCACTTGATATTAATTAATGTTCTCATTGTCCATAAACAGATTATATAATGATAATAAGTAAAATGTATTTTTATGGTCAATAAATGAAAATAATAGAATAAATGAACAAATAGATGATTCCATACTAGGAAAAAATAAATAAAACCCTGGCTACATTCAATATCTGGACTATTAAAGCGGGCCAGATTAAAGAACGACGCGGGCCGCGTGTGGCCCACGGACCATACTTTGCTCACCATATCTTTAGATAAACAGTGAAAGTAATTTTCAAGTTTTTGTCATCTTCTGAATTGACTCCATTGTAGTGAAGTTCCTATGGGGCCAGCATTTCATTGCACTTTTCCTCCCTTGCAGATTTTATCCCAAATGAACCCCCAAACAGTCACGGAGATGGACGCCGTGCTGGGAAACAAGCCGCACTCAAAGAAGGAGTCTCGCGCGTGAACCTCACACCTGTCCGAGCAAAAGCAAGAAGAACGACCAAGAAGACAAAAAGACTTTGCTTTTTCTCTGCCGTATACTCAACAACTTGCATGTTCTCAGCAACATTATGCTACCAGAATGAGCGCATTAAAGCCTTGCGCGCAGTACATTGTATCATGTATGGGAAAAAAAAAAAAAAAAGAAAAATCTTGCAGTTGTTCATCAGAACAGAAACAGGTCATATTAATACTCACTGATTGGAAAATTATGTCGAGGACAATGTGAGGAGGTCAAAGGTTAGAGGTGAGAGGTTGCAAAAAGCAAAAAAAAAAAAAAAAGGACTTTGACTCCGAAAAGGGGAAGATGACGACATCGCCTCTGTGCTAAAATGTGAACTGGCTGAGTCAATGCGTTAGCTGGGAGTGTCCGGCCTGCTTCCGGCTACATTTTGACAGTCTGAACTGTGTCCCCAGCAACCGCAACAAGCATCAAGAGGGACAGAAGTTGGTTTAAATGTGTCGTGACCAACATTTACCATAGCGTGCATGCGACTGGTCTGGCAAGGATTCACTGCTTTACCAAGTTGGCTCACTTGTGCGGTTAAAAAAATGAAGAAAAAAAATACATCACACGCTTTTTAGAAATAGGCAGATTACTCGGAGGTATAAAAAATGCACTAAGGACGTGAGATTATAGTTTACAAAGTTTGGAGAAGAATGACTGCTCTTGATGATGCATTTCAAAAAGTAGCGGAAAGATTCCAATCTTTGGATTATCGTGTGTATTTTCATGCGTTTCTTTCATGGGGTCAAAGCGGAGTGGTTACCGTCAAAGTACATTTTTCTAACCCTGTCGCATCTCTTGGGAGTGTCTTTTTTTTTTTTTTTTTTTGCCTCATCTGTTCCTCAACTGTGCGCATGTCCCTTTAAGAGAGAAAAACTCCAACAGGTTATCAAATATGGCATGGCTTTTATCGGCGTGATGTAGATTTGCAGCACCCATTAAGAGCCGCACTTGACGGCAAAAGGATCAAAGATCTAAAGGTCCAAGTGTGACATTGAAGACGTGTCGAGTGCACGCAGAGGTCATTTGTAAAGGTCGCACTACGAGTCACACGGGGTGAAATTGAGTAAATATGTTTTTGTTTTTTGTTTTTTTTTTAATGGAAGCCTTTTACAGCTTCTTCAATCATCTCTCTGGGAAATTCTGTGTTTTTGTTTCTACGTTCTGGGCATTTAATACTCTGGTTTCCATGCATTTCCCTTTCGTTTTCTACGGCTTCTATGGAGAGTGAGGGTTGTGTTTCTTTTGTCATTGTGACCCACAATCGGGACTTTTAAGTGGGGAGTGTTATGACGACGTGCTGAAGTCGGCACACAATTCAAGTGTATGTAGAACGATTCTATGCGGCAGCCAGGTAAAGGGGCTTGTTTAAGGAATCACGAAGGAAGCGCCCTCTGTTATTCCGTGACCATGTACAGTCCGACTGAGTGTTGCGTCCAGCGTACATGAACTACTCAATCCAACCTATGGAAATGTTAACTTTGCCTGCATAACTTCTATTTTACTGTCTTGCAACAAAGAGGAAGTGCAAAGAGGGGCAACAATACATGCTGAATGTAACGTGTCTTTTGCTGCGTCTAAAGGGAAAGCACATTACATGATTAAAAGGGTCCTTCTCTCTGTTGTTTTTGTTTGTGTGTGCGTGTGTGCGTGTGTGTGTGTGTGTGTGTGTGCGCGCGCGTGCGTGCGTGCATGCGTGTGGGTGTTTTAGAGTCACTCTGTGATACAGATTACCATATGTGCTGAAAAATTGTGACCGAAAACACTCCGCAGATGTAAATAAATAAATAAAGGCGAGTCATCATGTGATTCATCCAATCTGTGAAGGTGCAGGTCGGCAAAAATGATGGGGGGGGAAAAAGATAACAAATGGGCAGTAAACAGCCCCATCTGTTCCAAAGTGCACCGTGTGTCAATTTTCTCCATCTTCATTTGCTCTGTGTAATCGTGGGGCAATTAAAATATGTCCTCTGAATTTTTTTTTTTTTTTTTTAGCAATTAGACCATTCATTTGACCCATTTCGTGAATTCCCCCCCCCCCCAAAATACTTTTCACCATCTTCAATTTACCCGCAGAATGAAATTGGACAAGGCACAATGCACGCTATCATGAAAATGCATTGCATGATTTGGCACGTTTTTTTTTTTTGGGGGGGGGGCACAGAGACACACTCAAAGGGAGATATTTCCAGTTTAGAAGCTTTATGCCGGCCAGTATGACGAAGAGATTAAAAAGGTAGGGCCAATGTTGCGCAACCGGTCTTGTTCACATACTCAAATATCCGCCTTCTACTTTTACATTCGACGTGTGAACCTTCCTAATGATTACGGTACTTTGTGAATCCATAAGGTAACGAGATTTACGGTGTAATAGTCGCACTGCAGTATTTTATACATTCAGTCGTTGACCTCTGAACGCATAAACGTAGAACATGATGAGGCAGCTGATGCCGTGATCCTTTTCATTTAATACCAAAAACAAAAAAAAATATGCCATGCAGCTTTAGTCATTTTCCACAACAGTCAACACTAACACACTGACACGAAGAATCATTTGGAGAATCATCAACATTTGGCAAAGAAGGAGCCTAAAATGACCGGGTCCTTTGTGCGTGCAATTTCTTTTTGGAAATCTTACAAAAGTCATCATTCGACAACCATCGGGCGCTTCACAGGATTTTTGTGGGATTCAGTAGAAAAATTGGCTGTGTTGGATCAAGATTTCTTTTTTTTTTTTTTGGGGGGGGGGGGCGCTTTTGCATATGCAGTGGAGTGACACTGATGTCGCTGGAAAGTGAAATGGTTACATCGTATAATGTCGACTTTACATGTCCAAAGGTATACAGTCGAATTTTTTGTGTGATTTCCTACTCAGTTCTTGTCAGATCACGTAACTATTCACAGATGTCTTCAAAAACGCTCGAGGGGAAGTTGCAATACGTACCCTGAAAAACACACACGGTCAGGCAAATTGTAAAAATATGAATTACTTTTGCTCCAAACGAACAAGCGTTAAAAAAAAAAAAAAAATTTTAAAAACTCTCCCCGATTTTAGATTAATTATATTTGGCACAGCTTGCAAGGTGGCAAACCTATGAAGGCCGTATGACCCGAGAAGGCATGTGTGAATCACAGTAGAGTGAAATAAAATGGGAGGAAAGCCAGGGGGGGAATGTGGGGGGGGGGGATGCTACACTCCTTGATTGAAGGAAAATGAATTGAGGTAGGAAAAAAAAAATCATAAGACTCGGGAAGCGGTCAGGAACAGTTGTCAAGCATGCTACACAACACACGCACATTCGCACGCACACGCACACAAAGCCTGTTCATGGCAGAGCGGCATGCTTAAAAATCAGCCGACAAAACAGTATCATTCCTTAAATAGCTTACGTCCTCAAATAGTGGCCTTGGCGCCAATAGCGTGCCTTGATATCGTCGCCGAGTACATCCGGCTCTTGAACAACTCATGAGATCGGGGATTTTAAAAATACACAAAATGCGCGGCGGCGTGGCTTTACAAACTGTGCAGCAATAAAAAAATTAATAAATAAAATGACATCCAAGCACAGCTTAGTCGAAGTCATGCTTTTAGCTTGTAAAAGTACCTCAAATGTACCTCCTGGCTTGATTATTACGTCTCAAGTACAACGGATATTAAGTCTACACACCCCCGTTCAAATCCGAGGTGTTGGTGATATAAAAACACGAGACCAAGATTCATTCTGAAACTTCTTCGATCATTCATGTGACCTATAACCTGTAAAACTCAATTGACGTGGCAGGAAAAGCCCACTAGAACAGCTGATGTTCACTTCAGTGTGTTTGGGGTTAGCTAGAGACACGTGAAAGTAGCGGTCAATAAAATTGGGGTAACTTCAAAATTATTATGTTGACATTGATTTATTTTTCCTGATTGGTCCATTTTTGAGTAGTTCACTGTGCTGTTTTATTTGATTCCGCAATTGTTGTACAGCAGAATCCCCCTCTTGAAAATATTTCATTTATTCTTTCAATTGAGTTGGTTTCAAGTCAAATGAGATGGCGTAAGAAGTTTTGGAATGATTCATCTTGGTTCGATTACCCCCTTTCCCAATCATACTTTTGAACAGACAGGGGTGTGTAGACTTTTTGAATCCACTGTATGCTTCCCGTCCTACAACGGACCGCCTGCAAGTTTTGTTACAACGAGGTTTCTCTTCCGTATTATGACCGCCATGGCTAATTTTTTTTTTTTTAACAGTTTCAAAATCGAGCCAGGCATCCACGGGAATCATAGCCTTCCAAATATTCTCCATGGTGGACTGGAACTTGATTGCAAGTCAATGTGCCGTCTCGAGCCTTTTTTTTTTTTTTTTTTTTTAAAGTCAAGTCACATGCAGTCACCGTAAAAGTTGCAATGACTCAAATCACCGACTCTGTTTACTACTTCGGGACGCTAAATCCACCTCTACTGCACTGCATTATTGATAGGCACTAACAATAAAAGGGACACACAAAAAGAAAGTGCTAAGGCAAGGAAGTTACACAATCGACTCCCACTGTAAAAAACAGAAGTAAGAATTCTCCCCAACAAGACAACGGCGTCTACCGCTCTAACTTTACACAGGCGATTGTACAAATAAAGGCCTCCACTTAAATACACGCCGACTACAAATACGTGCCCGATACTGCAGTTGCATACATTTGTACCCCAGCCACTATTTGAGGAAATACAGTAGCACAATGGACTTAAGTACATCGTCATGTAAATAAGTAAACATCAGACCACACGACTCCGGCATGCATGCGCACTTCCACAAAAGGGAACACGAGAAGACACAGAGCGATGTTAGCATTAGCATCGTTCATGCTTAGACGTTAAGCTGGCGGAAGCGACGGTCGTTATTTAGCAAGTCTTCCTGTTTGTCTGCATGACCTCTTTGAGCGTGAACGACATGAACGCAATCTGCTCCAGTTCGCTTTCTTTGCCGCACTCCATCAGGCACGAGAACTGATCGTTGTCCCGGTTGTAGGCCAGGTCTGAGTAGCCGCTGGGCCCGCTGTGGAGGATGCTGGGCCGGTCCCACCCTCGCGAGTGCAGCGGGGACCGGTTCAAGTACACGCCCATGTCCCGCCGGCTGTGCTTGTTGGTCGGGTGCATGAAGAGGAGCCAGGTTTGCGTGTCGGGAGACAGAGGGGACGTGTCGCACGTTTTGTTCTCGGCGTCCTCACTGGGGATGAACTCGGGCACGGGAAAGCCGATGACGCTTCCCTGGCAGCCTTTGGGTTGTTCCACCAGCTCTCGGGCCGTGCGGGGTTTGTCGAAGCAGACGCCGCTGTTTTCGCTCAGCGCCTCGCGTCTGTGGCCGCCGAAGTTGCGAGCGTTGCAGTACAGGTGACTCCGGCCCTCGTGATCTATGATCTCGGCCATCTCGCACTCGCACGACTTCTTGAGGAGCATCTTGCCCATGTGCCACGTCTTGCCCAAGTCCGCGCTGTAGACCGTCAGCGCACGCGGGTAAACCGTGTGAGGAACGGGGAAGGAGAAGCACCTGTATGGGATGTAGTAGGCGTAGGCTGGGATAATCAACCTCCCGTTCTCCAGTTGGACCCCGTGCCCCGGACCCACGGCGAACGTGGCCCACTTGCGGATAGTTTGTCCGATCACGCTCTCCGTTACATCCGTGACCTCGCTCCAGGTGTGGCCGTCGTCACCGCTGCTGACGTAGCAAAGGCGCGTCTTGTTCTTACCTGTGATGATCTGCCTCTGCTCCGAGGTGTTGCCCAGGATGCAGACGAAGAATAAAAACAAGGTGCTGGTGTTTTTCTCAAACACGGGGCAGGGGTTCATGGTGCGGTGGTCCGGCAGGCATGCCGTTGACAACTCCTCGCTCGACAGCCACTGGAAGGATAAGACTGTGGTTAAATATACTCACTGGACTCTTCATTAGGTACACCGGTACACTCTAATAATGTTTACTAAACCAGCTGCCTTAAAAGATCATCCTTCGCAGTTTTGACCTGTGCCCACACACAGTGGAATGATGTCAAAGGAAATAAAACCATATAAAGTGTGATCGCTGTAATGTTTGTTTCTCAGTCTTATATATTAATAGCAGACAAGACAGAGAGGAGTATTTCGCGATGGGATAGAAGAAAATTTGGAGATAGCTGGAGTTAGAGCAGAGGAAAAAGCGGCACGGAAGAGAATGAACCGCTGCGGGGACACCTTGAGACAAGGTGACACCAGTCCTGTGACATTTCTGACACACCTCGCAAGTTAAACCGAAAGAGAAACAACAGCACAACCATGAGAAGAGTACGTTAGTCATTTTTATGTCCTACCTGAACAGATCCGTCATCACTCTGCACCCCTCTTCGCATAACCAGAAGTTTGGCATCACAGTCACGTGAAGAGGTCCTCTTCTCTGCAAAGGCGAGAAAGGTGCCACTGTGTCTCAGGTAGATGAGAGCAGGAATTCTGTACGTGATGCCGCTTGGCTCCCTCTCAAATAAAGTTGTTTTTGGTGGCGCCTCTCCGCCGTCGCTCTTCGATGGCGTGTTCCCCATGATGCACCAGCTCCTGTGAGGTGCATGCAGCACGTTTATTATCAAGTCACAACACCTTGGTTGCACACGTTCCAAAGCTGACTCACCGGGAAGAAGAGTTCACAATCATACGCATCAACGTCGTTGTGCAACACGGCACGTAAAAAAAGTCCTTACCTTCACTTGTCACGCTTCACATCTGTCACCTTGAGCTGATCAACACACTGTCTCGTTTCATTAAGTGGAGCCAAGAGCTCCGCCGATCATGACACTGACGCCGAGGGACGAACGCAAGAGAAGAAGACGCGGAAGGGAGAATTACTTCCTACTCACTTCCGCGTTCGCTTGGTCGCCGCTTTTCAAAACCTAAAGCGAGGTTTGCATCACAAGGCGCCATAATTATTATTTACTCGTCGTTGTGATTTTACTTTGAGATACTGTCCATCGAGACAACCGAACCCATTCGCAAAATCAAATAAAATGAAATAATATCCCTCCGCATCGAGTCGAGAAGCCATTGCAGCGCATGCGCAGTTAGTCGTCCTCGACAAAATCATTCGGAACGAAAATATTTTCGAGCCTGAGTTGATATAAATATTACTCCTATGGATATATCTTTTACAGTAGATATTTAAGCCTATATTCCAGGTTCTTAATAAATATATGAATAAACAAAAATGCTGGAGTCTCACTTCCGCGTTTGGCAATAAACTATTTATCGCCACCCACTGGACAGGAGGTATAGTGCTGACATGTTGTTGCTAGGCGACAGCACTCTTCAAAGAGAAAAAAATGTCTTTCAGTTACCGTGGACTCAGTAATTCCCCAAAATGTTTTCCAGCACGGACATTTCAAAATAAAGAAGAGGAGGAAACTATTGGTCTCGGAAGAAAGTGAATAATCTCCCGAGAGACACTCCGTAGGGCGCCCAAGAGCAAATAAAAATCTAGAGTCTGGAGTTGTATTGTTTTCGATATCATTATATTTTACTTGCCGTAGTGTTGAGTAATAATTGAAAAACATTTTAAAATGGTAAAACGTCTGAATCACGGATTTTTAAATATTGACCAGCAGGTGGTGCAAAACTATCAAAATGAAAATGACCTGCTCTCAGAGTTACTAAATATATTTGTCGATTATTTTGATGGCATTCGTTTGTACACCGTTGTGGAGACAGCACAGATTTTAACGCCCTGCAGGTCTTGATGCTTGATGAAAACAAACTACATTCTGAAGCCTCTGAATTTTTAAGAGGTCGTGATGTGTTTGCTTTGTAATCCTACTGCTTGGATGGTGTTTCAACATGACAATAGTTTGGTTTGTGTCATCAAAAATGTTTTTCTTTAAATCAAAAATCAAAGAAAATAATCGATTCATCATTCAGAGAACACACAGTTTGAGTATATACTCTGCACATGTCTCTGTAGAATATGACTGAAATGATCCTTGGCAAAATCATCCTCTATTTCAATTATCATGGCCTGATTAAACCTATATATAGCCAATCAGAGACTGTAAAGCCAGAAGGTGTGACAGAGGGATGCGTCAATCATGTACTCATGCGCACCGCCGCTCAAAGAGGCTCATGGGAACACAAAGAAGCTGTCACAAGAGGAGACCATTATAGTTTCTTGGCTGCTTATCTAACTCCGGTTAATAAGTTAAAAAGAAGGAATTGGAAAGGTCTCGACTTCATTCCATGGGCTAGAAAGGTGTTGCTTGAGGCACAGAGAGCTGCATAACTGGCTGCAAGCCCCGGTGTGTCACTTTCCATCAGGTCATCGAGTAAGTTGATCACTTCTCTTATGTTGAATTGATTGCACATTCCAAAACAATACAACCGCAAACCGGTAACATTTCGTTTTTTTGGCAATACTCCCTCATGAACGAACGGGGTCACGTTAGCTACGTAGCTGCCTCGGCGTGCAAGCGCATTAGTGAGCTGGGGGCGTTTCATGGAGAAATGAAAGGTGACATTTCAGGACCGATACGTGGCCTTAACGATACAAATGAGTCTTTGTTGCTCAGGCAATTGACATTCCTAAAGACAACGGCAAAAGTTCCAAGAGACACGAGGATGGCGCTGCGCCTGAGAGATTCTACTCCCCGCATGAAGAAGATGCAGGCTAAATCAAATCCTGATGTGGCGCGGTCCGATGGTGAGGACTCGTGGCTATTTTTATTCGGCAGAATTTCTTCCAGGCCTAAAAACGCTTTGGCTGCACAATGGCCCCATGGTGAAGAGGAATGCCCATATATTTTTTTTTTAACAGGAATTCACACAGCTGCTCGGATGCTGAAGAACACACTGAAGAATCTTAATATTTACAGAGGCTCCAAAGCAAGACTTGATAGCATCCAGACGGCGTACAGACACGGACTGAATGGGTTTGGCCACGCTACACACAAACTCTTTGCATGTATGCTTTATATTACAATCCAGAGAATTATGATGGGAACAAAACTTTTTTTCTTTTTTGGGGTACAAATTAAGGATATACCACTGTTGAGACAAGACAATGGACTAGTGAAATGGGACTCAAGTTAATCAAGGAAATGAGAGAGAGTGAGAGTGCAACACTAAAATGAAGCACCTTTAAGTGAGCACAATTCACACTCACAACACCTTTTTACGTGTTTCAGTTGTCTTTTTTTTTTTCTGCACGTGTGAAGAAGACAGAACACAAGGAGGCGCTTATGCCCCGAAGGGATTTGGAGATAAAATACAGGCGCCTTCTAAAGGGGAACAATGGAACATGGGAGTCAAAAACGAGAAGCCGGAGTGAGCTGAGAGCAGTTGGTTGAGTTGCATCCAAGGAGAAAATAACTGAAAACCTTTCATGCCTTGTGTGTGTGTGTGTGTGTGTGTGTGTGTGTGTGTGTGTGTGTGTGTGTGTGTTTATAATTATAGAGGAAATGTGCAAGGGCACCAAAACAAAAGGACCAACATTCATTTAGCGTGGTTGCAGTGATCAGAAAGGATGATGAAAATGACATATTATCATTTGGACTAATAAACAACTACCGCACAACAGCTCAGTGACACTGTTAATCCATGAAGTTGTTTTCTCTGTGCTGCTTTAGATTCTACATGAGTCAGATTGAATCGGTTGGTCAACTCCAACAATAATTTTTCCATCTGTCGATCTCCTTCTATAAAACTTGTCCTCGTCCTCATCCCACACAAGCGCCAAGGAGAACATCCGTGCAGGAAGGCCTGAGCCAATGCGCTTCCCAAACGTAATTGAAATTTGAACCGGACATGATATGCTGTAAACCTGTAATACTGCCCTGCTGGCTCGAATCATGTTCCCCACAAACGAAAACCAACGCGGTCATCGCGCCCATTTTCTGCTCCTTGAGACGGTATACAATGTTTGAAGCTCCGCAGTGCAAGGCTTCATTTTATGATCTCCAAACTCCTGTTTGTGATTATTAGTGACAAGTAACACAACAACAGCACAAAGGGACATCTGGTGCACAGCAATCTCAACTGTCTCGACAGGAAAATGATCTACCACTGTGACAAAGAGAGAGAAGAAAAAAATGTCCTAGCTGCAGATTGCTGGCTATTCAAATGAATGCTGTACTTTCATGAAAAGTGCCCTCTAGCGGCTGTAACAAGGATAGCATTTGCATCTGGTCAAACCGATGGGATGCTGAGTATGCGCTTTGGTCGTCTACTGATGCCTTTTCCAATATGTGTTTGTGGGCATGGTTGACTGTCAGCATTCACATTGTAGTTCGCCGACTCAAAAGAATGAATGTCAATACTTAACGATTTTGGTGAAAACAAGCGTTTCACAACAGCATTTTTTTCTTTTTTTGGGGGGGACACTAAACACTGGAAATGCCCGGCTCTCAGCATGAACACGTTAGTGAATAAAGATAAACACCCTGATGTTTGCCCAAACAGAATCACACAACACCCTCATTATCCAAAATCAAACATATCAAACGACTCAAAAAGTCCAAACGCTTTGGAATAGCACGCATTGTCCAAATTGTTTACCTGGCTGTCCAAGTGAAGGTCAGCCACTCGAGCTCAGCTAACGAGGCAGCCGACACCCAATCAGGCTGTGACGAAAAGGGACCTCATCAACACTGCTCATTAATCAAGTGCCAAATGAGCTCGCTTCAGACTGGCGCCGCCGTTCATGCTTTTCCTTTGATGAAACAAACTCATGTGGAGGGTTCAGATCCGAACAAGAGGCCGTGACACATCCCAACCTTTGAAATGTGCTGAGCTTCCTTTTATCTCTTTGCAAACGCGTGTTTTAACAAAGTTCGCATTTATAGGCGATCACGAGGAGCGTAGTGTTCATGACACTGTTTTTCTCTATGACTCACACTCGAGAGTGAAAAAAAATAACAAGGCCCTCAGCATATCTCTGAAGTATTTGTCATGAAGTATAAACACGGCAGAGTGCATGAATCAGCTATGAAAGCAAACACGGCTGTGAGGCTTAATTACCTTTTAGCATGATTTGCTGCGATTCCTTTGGCCCTTCACTTCCTTTTGAATACTGTAAAGTGAAGTTAGCCCGCTAGCTGGCTAGCTAGGCTCAATGTGGCATGGAAACTTCCTCTTGAATACTGTAAAGTGAAGTTGGCCCACTAGCTAGCTATCTAGACTCAACGTGGCATGGAAACTTCGTCTTGAATACTGTAAAGTGAAGTTAGCCCGCTATTTAGCTAGGTAGGCTCAACGTGGCACGGAAAGCACCGCGCAAGCCGGTAGAATTTACTCTATTCCAGCAAGCGGGGGCCTTTTAAAGGATACATTTTCACGGCTCAAACACGCAGAGATGTTTCAGAAGAAAAATACCACACCAGGGTAGCAGCAGCGTTTGAGACTGTAGACACACACTTGATTTTTTTGAAGCCTGACTTTGTATACATGGCAATTTTTTTGAAGGAACTTTAAATAACTCACTCTTACACTGTTAAACGATCTTTTCCCTTTTATTTGTTTCAGAATCCACTCTGCCTCCCTACAAGAATGACGTTTGAAATGAAATCATCAAGTCACTTAAGTCAGAGGTCCTTGGATTCGTGTTTCACAATGTACAGCATTCTGCCCTCCTTGTGGAGGAGATCATTGACAAAAATATTGGGACACCGGTCCATCACACTTGACAAGAAGCAATAACTGACAAGAAGTTGTTTTGCTACTTGCATGCCTTCATGAAAATGAAATAAAGCCATTACCACCGCTAGCCCAAACCGTGACTCATTATCGTACTAATTTGTGATCGTATTAAAAGACGGACGTTGGTCAAAATCCAATTAAGTTGGCGACCCCTGATTCGCAAACGTGTTTTCACTTCTCACTCACTCTGTCCTGCACGGCAGCAGGGTGGGGTGAACCTAAACGGGGGCCTGAGGAAGTGTGGTTTTTACCCAATGACTGCCCCCAGCTGCTACAACCTGCAGAGTCAATAGAGTAAGCATGCTGAGCTCACCTAGCGTGTGTGACAAATTCAAACCTTGACAAAAATAAACGATGGGCTTTTTTCCCCACTCGATGGCCAGA